ATAGTAAGTGTAACATAAGGCAATCTTTAAACTGCGATCTAATTCATCATCAATATCCAACAGTATAAACTGCAAATTAACAAATGGTGTCTGGTATGGTGTTAACAAGTACAAAAAAGTTTCAAGGTCTCCCTTCTCCTTTTAATTTGATAGTTAAACTCAGGTGCCAGGATCAACATAACCAAAGATGGAACCTCTCACAAGCTGACAATTAAAAGCTGCACAGATGATGACTCTGGACTTTATCGCTTTGTGTCAGGGGAGCAGAGTACACAAGGAAAGGTTACTATAGGAGGTATGATTTACTTCCCTCCCTTAATTGCAGAACATGTAGGAAATGGCTGCTGCTGAGTGCATTAAACTTAATTACTTTCTGCTTTATAGATGTACCTGAGTTTGACCCAGACGACCTTCACAAGTTTTCCAAACCTGTGATCATAAGAGTGGGGCAGAATGCTGCTTTCAAGATGCCCTTCATTCCTCAGGAATCTTTGGTGGTCAGTTGGTTTAAGGATGGCACTGAGATCAAAGATGGAGGAGGAGTTAAGATCTTGAAGGAGCCCAATCACAGCCGGCTGCTACTCAGAGACTGTTTGCGGACAGATGCAGGCGAAATAAAAATACAGCTCAAAAACCCATTTGGAGTTGTGGAGGCTACATCTCAGCTTATTGTGCTTGGTACAAAATCAAGGAATCTAATAAAAATATTGTACTTTACTAGGAACCACTTTGCGAGCTACATTTAAAATGTTACACTATGTTGTTCTAACAGATCATCCAGGCCCACCAGAGGGTCCAGTGGACACTGTTGAAACGACCTCATCTGTGATTGAGATTAAATGGAACCCTCCAAAGGATGACGGTGGCTCGGCTGTCACCAACTATATTATAGAACGACAGCAGACAGGACAGAGTCTGTGGACGAAACTTGGGGATGTTTTAGCTGACAGGACATCCTTCAGAGACAGGAATGTGATTCATGGAAAGAAATACAACTACCGGATCTATGCAGAAAACCCTGAGGGCCTCAGTGATGCCCTGGAGACAGCTGACAGCATTATGGCTGGCATAATGAGTGAGTGCAGAAAAAAGAAGTCTCATTTAGCTTTCCTCAGCAAATCCCATGATAGTCCCCCTCAGGTTGTAATAAATAAAAATGTCTTTAGATAGGTTTTGTGATTGCTTCAGATTGTCTGTCACACAATTCAGTTGTTGTTGAAATCCCAAAATATTAAGAGGTTTATCTCAAAGAGGTGCTATCCTGCAGTAACAAATTGCAAATGTCCTTAATTCATTCCATGTCTTTAATTACTTCTTAATCATTAAACATGCGCTTACATGATTAATAAGACTACTCTCATTTGACTATGACTACGTCATTTCCTAGTACTCTCTGGTCCACCTGGTGCTCCTAAAGTGGTGAGTGCCTCTAAGACGTGTATCAATTTGACCTGGACCCCTCCAGAGGACGACAGAGGAGTACCGATCATCGGTTATCAAGTAGAGAAACAAAAGAAAGACACAAATGAGTGGATTGCCCTGAATGCACTCAATGAACCTATTAAAGGTCAGAATGAAAGCACACATATGACATGTTCATTACAGGGGAAAAAAAATTCTCCTTTTTCATGACTTTTGTCCTTGCTGTGCTACTCATCTTATTTCTAGATGTGAAGTTTGCAGTAAAAGATGTTATGGAGGGAGCAGAGTACGAGTTCAGGGTTGCAGCAATCAATGAGTCAGGATCTGGAGATCTAAGCCCTCCGTCTGCAATGGTGTGTGCAAAGAATCCCAACAGTAAGTAGAAAGCATATTCACAGTGCATATTAAAGTTTTAAGCTGGTTGTCCTACCACATATTGTTTGCTGCCTTGTCTGCATTTCATAATCTGTGAGCTTGTGTGTTTTCCTTTCAGTGAGACCTTGTTTCAAAGATCCAGAAGACTTCATTGTCGTCAGAGCCGGAAATTCTGCTCGGGTCAAAATTTGCTATGAGGTATTAATAAATCCAAAATCTGGTTTGCATAAGGAGTCCTTGCTGCTCGGTATAAATCTTAAATCTATCAGTCGGTTCCAGTGTTGGATTTTATGCCCCAATCCAGCCATGTCACTCTTGAGTGATGAGTTTACAACATTGTGATGTGACTGCTTATGTCTCACACTTTATCTCATTTATCTGACATTAATATCTCCAGGCTGAACCTCCGCCTCAGATCACTTGGCTGAAGGACGATGAGCCAATATCCCCTTGGATCAATATCATTAACACAGAGGGAATGTCTCAGCTTGTTATTCCCTCATCGAAGAGGTCAGATTCAGCCATCTACACAGTTAAAGCCAAAAACTCTGTGGGCGAGGCTTCGTTTGACATTGAGGTTAGAGTCACAGGTGAGGACAAGTAACAGAAGGGACAGTTATGTGCTGAAACTACTGGTGGAAGTTATTTTGTGCTCATATTAACGGATATTAGGTGGGAAATTTTTGTCAATTAAAAGCCAAAAACACATAAATGTATTACGTGTTTGACATGTATTAAGTTTGAAGAAAGAATTGCTCCAAACACGGGGAAAAATAAGACAAAGGTTTAGCAAACGATTCTCTCCTCTCTCAGTAATATAACTGGCATCTTATCGTACTTGTTGCTAGATGAACCCAAGACTCCAGGGCCAGTGGAGTTGGAGCAGACTGTCCATGGCAAAGTGGTGGTATCATGGGCTCCCTCCCCTGACCAGGAGCTCGATGACCGCCTGTATTATGTGGTAGCTCAACATGACTCCAACAGCAGAGTGTGGAAGACTGTGGCAGACCGTCTCTTAACTAACACATACACAGCCAACAACATTCTTCCTGGGATAGAGTATCATTTCCAGATCTACGCCAAGAACGATATGGGCCTCTCAGATCCATCTCAGTCACCAACATGGGGCGCCAACAGCAACAGAGGTGGGATGTTCCCCTCTTCAAAAAATGTCTTAAACATCAGATATGATTACTGTGTAACCTATGATCTTGATTCAAATGTTCTGTATTTTTTCCCCTTAAAGTTCATCTGAGTTCCAATGGACCTAATTCTACGGACATTTCCTTTGAGAGGCCCCCGTCCATCCTGGTCCCTCTCAAAGTCCACACTCCACCTAAAGGTTATCAGCTCTACATGACATGTGCTGTCCGGGGATGTCCTACACCCTCAGTATCCTGGTACCTGAACGATGTGTGCATCAACTCAGACAACAACTACTACATCACCAACTCATTCGGAGTGTGCTCCATGTATATTCTCCGAGTGCGGCAAAAGGACAGCGGTGAATATAAGGTGGTAGCAGTCAACTCTTTTGGCAAGGCAGACTGTTCCACTAAACTTGTTGTTAGAGGTAAGGTTTAACTTCAGAGTTGATTTCTTTATTCAGAAGTTCATGCTATCATTATTGTTCTAATTATTATTCCTGCCTTTTCTCCACAGACTAAAATGGCACAAAGGTTTTATGCAACTTTTCCTTCGACTGAGATTCTGGAAAGTAAGAATATTGAATGTTTTATTGCAAATGATATGATGCATAATGAGCTAGTAAAATCATACAAAATGTTTTGAGGCAAAACATTTTTTGTTTGAAATGCAACTGTTTCATAATTTTTATCAGAATTTGTCATCAGAAATATTATTTAGTGAAAATTGACATTTTTACGCTTTTAACCATAATAAATCAACAAACTGGCATCGGTGTACCTGTGCTTTACTTCGCAAACATCTTTCAAAACGATGGCTACTAAATTCAGTAGCAACACATTTCCAGCAGCACACATCTGAGCCCATGACACCATGCACATAGCAGTAAGTGCATTGAGCACTTATGAAACACGTTCACATTTTCATTGCTTTTCCATTTATATCCCCCTGAGCTGCCCAGTAAACTTATCTATAAGAGGATCCTTGACTGCAATGTTAACAGTCAAAAAAACTTTACAGGAAGAGTTTGATCACAAGAAAAAAAAAATCCAACCAATCTCTTTAACTGCTTCTATATATCTAAAATATTCATATATACAGGTCAGAAATAACCTTTCACTAAACATATATATAAAGCCAACATGCCTACTAATGACATTATATTCACAATTAGAAGTGGAGTTCAGCAGCCATGTTGATTATATTTAGCACAGTTGTGGCTTTATGTAAGAGTGCGTACGTCATGTCCTCGGCCAGGTCAGGGGTGACATCCGTGTTTATTCTCCACTCGTGTCATCAGGCTTTTCTTTCAGTTATGTCTCTTTTATGAAGTCGAGGTGATTCTTCAACGTGTTTAGATAAGTTATGCTTGTTTAACCTCTGACAATGGGGACCTTATTTCTAGGTACTCAGTGCTCAGTACAAAACAACAACACCATCATGAGTAACCATCTTTTTATAATGCCGCCACAATGTGACTAACTAAATACCATACGGTGCTGTGAGAATTTCCGTTTATGCTTTCAGAGACTAACTGGATCAGCCAATTCATTCATATCAATCACAGATTATTTTACCGAATAAAATGTCTCGTGTTAATGTTAACTGTCCAATAAAGACCACAGTGAATTGATCATATTACTAGAAACCTTGTTAAGCTGCCAGTCAAAGGCTTATGGTGGGATGCTTTACCTCTTGCATGTGGGACATTACTGTGGTTGTTTTGGATCCACAATTCATGAAGTCTACACCATGAAGGTCAAGTGCAGATATATCCATCACTAATGAGATTGGCATTAATGATACTTTGCTAGACTTCATCCCTTTCTGACAGGTGTGGATACTGATATACACAACTAGTCACATATGATGCTGCGGGTGTTTTTATATTGTCAACAGTCACAGTAGAAAACGTCTACTGGATGTGTCCAATGACAGATTGAATGAACAGTCATAATGTATTTCCAGGGGCAGCTGCAAAGTGATCCCTTTCATTGGGATAAGAAAGATGAACCTCCACCTTATATCGTTGCCATAATATGGGTTTTACTAATTACATTTCAGCCATGTATGGGTTTTCTATGCACATCCCCAAAACCATTTTTATCACCAGACAAAAAGGGGTGTCCACTTTGAAATACTGGATAGAGAGAGCGAGTACAAGCTTAAGACGGACAGCTGAGGGTAGACGCGGAAGAACGGAAAGTAAGTCAGATTTTGTTAATTAGCAGCCAGTATGAATAAATTTAATTAAATCAGGCAAATACAGATCAAGGAGAATATTTTAAAGATGTAATTGAAACCTTCATGCAGGATATTCAAATGTAACATTATTTCAATGAGGGAGCAGTACAGGGAAGTTTAACTTAATTTTTCAGTTTAATCAATCTTGATTTACTGATCTCACTAGCATAATGGAGTTAAAGGGTTAAAATACTGTATTTAACTCTGCTCAACTACTGACAAAAGCTCAACAAGAAAAATGCCATAAGATTTTGAAATGCTTAATTCTTATGATCAGCAGATATTGTGTTTTTTTGTATACCTAGGTCAAAATGATCATCTCAATCCAAATAACCTTTTTGTGCCAAATACAAAAAAATTAATGCTGTGAAGTCGGAAATTGGTTTCTTAAACTAACAGAAAAGTAAAATGAAGCTTTTGACATCATCCTGCAATTCTGACATTAACTGTGTGCCATGTTTCAACTGGGTTATTGTGACTAGCAAAGGATTTAGCAGGAGCCTAAAGATCAGTTTTCACAAAAGTGTGACACATCAAAACCTTTTTTCTCTTTTTTTTTTGCTGGTTTGTAAATGTTCAGGGTCAAATATTATTTTTCCATATGCTCTGTTCCTCTTGAGTTGCTCAAAATGAAACCACATAACCACATAAAAATCCTTATGGTTATAATCTTGATATGCAGCCCATTTTGCTCTAATCTTAGCCTCTTGGCTTTGAAGATACTAAAACAATTATCCAACTAACTCAGAGATTAAAAATACCCTGCAATGTATTGAGCTAAAAGTCTTGACACACAAAAGCAGGTCAAAGTCATTTCTAATTTACTGCCTATAGCTGAAGTTTTGGTTAAATTAAATTCTGTATCCAAAATTCCCTTTCTGGAATGTTTTTGTCACTTTAGTAAATAGAGTGCACAATCAATGTTTTTTTTTCACTTTTAAACACAAGAGGAAGTTACATATTCTATCAGCAGTTCAGTTTCAAGTGAATTGTTTCAGTCAATACCCAAATGAAAATCAATTTTTAGAAATTTGTGGCATAAACAACACAGATATTTGCACTGCCTTAACTTGCCTGATGCAAAGACATTCTGCTCCTGTCTATGTTTGGATCATGAGCAGTTAAACTGCTGGTACAGCCACTTGACTCCACAGGCACTTAGGCAGAGTCAGCCACTAGGTGGGATTTCACATTCCCTATTTACAGTTTCCCAAAGTGTCTCCAACTGTCTGAGCGGGTCACACAAGGAGTCAAGGCACTCCACTTTGACAGGCTGATGTCATACAGAGACATGGATGACACATGAGGAGAACCTCCAAGGCAAGTCTTATCCAGCCAACCCATCTCTGGCCCATGACCCCTTTTTGGGTGTCCTAGGTTCTCATGACCCAAGCAGCAAAAGAATGGTCAAGTTTCCATTACAGAAGTTAAGTCATGCAACCTTGACTATACTTGCAACTGTGTGTGTGTGTGTGTGTGTGTGTGTGTGTGTGTGGTGGGGGGGCTATGTTCTAAATGAATTATATAAAAATAAATAAAAGATCTGATCAGAAACAGATAACTGATTCATCTATTAACTAAAACTGTACATTTGTAAATAAAATAAAAAGTTAAATAAAAATTTGTGCAAAATCCATTAGTGTCACCTTTAAGCAAAAGTACATCAAATTTAGTCATGTCTATCATATATATTACATAAATATGCATACACACATGGACAGGTGAGAAAAACTAAGGAAAGATTAAAGAAAAACCACTATAAGGTGACAGTAACATGTTGGGACAACACGTGCCATCAGAATAGTATTTATGTGCCTTGACCTTGATTCCACAAGTCCGTTGGACGCTACAGAACAATTGGAAGGTCTTTCTAAAAGATAAAAGAGTTTGATCTTATCTACAGACTGAAATTCAGAGCATATGATTCACATTATTTCCATACTCATCAAACCATCCCTGTTCTTTGTAAAGGCCTCTGTATTTGCATTTTTCCCCCCATTAATCTATTTTGGATTTTCCTTTGTCACCTATATGAACATATATTAGATATTGAAATATCTCTTTGTATTCACATCCATTGCTTGAAGTTTAGCTCAGGAGCCTTGTATTGATTATCTTTCAGATGTTTCTATACCTTGATTGGAGTCAAATTGATTCAATATGACTTGGAGAGGCTGTGAGGATTTAGGAACTGTGTGCACAGCTTTGAGGCAGAATTGTCTCGAGACATTGATCTGGGGAAGGCTATGAGAGTATTTCACACAGACAAAATAATGTAGAAGTGGCTTAGGGGACAGGACAACCTGTGAATGTCCTTGAGTGGCCGCACAGCTGAGAAAGGCTGTACACTGACGGTCCCTATTCAAGCTGATGGAGTTTGAGTGAATATGAATGACAGAAGATAATCCCCAAATCTAGATGTGCAAAGCCTGTTGTGTCATATCAAGGAAGACTTGAGGCTATAATCGCTGCACAGGGAGCTTCAACTAAGTACTGAGCAAAGGGTCTAAATAATAAAACTGTATTTGAGATATTTTAGCTTTTCATTTTTAATAAATTTGCAAACATTTACTTTCCCTTTGCCATTAAGGGTTATTGGGTGTTGAGCAGCAAGAAAAAATAATTCTAGCTTAGGGTTGCAGGCTAGCAAAATGTGAAAAACATAAAGGGATCTGGACACTTTCTGCATGGACTGTTTGTGTAGTGGTCAAATTATAGGTTTTTCAATGGGCGATGAGAGCCTGACAGGCAGTGGTCGATAAACAAGGTCAAGTTTCCTTGAGCTGTATCCGCTCTATTGAAGCATGCACCCAGATGACACTCGTGGATTTTATTAACTCATCAGAGGCTTGTTCAAGTAACTGAACCTACAGCCAGCGTTCACCTATGTGCTTTTAGTAGTGTTGTGATAGAGAGAAAGAAAAAAGCATCAGAACTAAGTGAAAGTGTCGGAAATCAAATTGTTATTCAGAGCAAAGAGAGGCTTTCTCAGACTCAGATTGTGAGGCAGTGGATTTAAAACTCTAAAAACACTTTGCAGGAACTGGAACAGTTGTATGCAAAGCATGATCAGGCAGAACAAAAGTATACCATCAGAAGATCAATATATCAAGCTTAGTGTCCACTGAGGTATTATGCAGGGCAGTTGGAAGCTGTTGTCTAATTCTTTTAAAAACCAGAAAAACAATTGTTCAAGAGCAGTGTCGACCAATGGAAAATTTTAAATGTTAAATATTCAAATGTTTGGATACCAATGGCTCGCAAGGCCAAGGACAATACTTAGAGATNTAACAACATCTAATATTAAGAGAGCCTTGAAGGCTTTGACCCAAAGGTTGAGAAACACTGCAACAGGGCCCACAAATGAATATGAGGACTGTGAAGCATATTTGCTGCAGTTCATTTTTATGATTCTTTCCCTCCGTAACATTTATTTGAAAGCCATTTAGATTGTTGTACATTATGGTTTGATGATAAAGTTTGTCTAACTCATGGGAACTCTTTCATTGTTCAAATGTCTGCCACAGAGAAGTGCAAACAGGCATCAACCACAACGCACAGAGCGGTGACAGCTTTTCTTTGTGTTCTAGCCAAAGAGTGACAACAGCTTTTATATGACAAATAACTGACAACGCTGCAATGTTGGATAAAAAGCGGGACCCAAAGGCCGTAGGTAAGTGGCTGTTTATATGTTACTGTTAGTACTGTTATCTTTAAATACATAAACACTTCAGACAAAGCCCTTTGCTCATATATACATACAATTACACACAGGTTAAACTTCAGTTTAGTCTGATTAGAAAAAAAACAGGTGTGAAAGGTACCACAGTCTGAATCAACAAACCAAATCTATATCTGACCAAAAACCAGTGGTGTCGGTCTGGATCAAGGAAACACTATTGGGATTGTTGGCTGTAAGTAAACACTGTTTTAGATTATTCAGACGGACCTATTGCAGGAAGTTGAGAGAGCATTAAACAATAGAAGAAGAAGAAGAAGAAGCGGCTCACAGGATTCCTTGTTGTCTGCACCTCTGATGATACAAAGTTTGAAGGATGAGGAGTAATACTTTACTCATATCACAGGGGCAACAAATTAACAGAGTAAACACATTCATTCTCAATTAAAAAAAGGAAAGACTACTTCTTTTATGCATGTTATTCAAAAACATTAGTGAATACAGTAGCCTGATTGAAAACATGAACACGTCCAATGCACAACCTTCTAAAAACCAATCGATGTCAAGAAAGGCAGACGCAGCATATGTAGGTGCTGACGACACAACGTTTGAAGGGTTCTGCAAAACTCTCTAAATTGCTGAGTGAAAACTTTACTAATCAGATCAAATAATGCAACAAAGACATGAACCTTGGTCCAGACCATCAGGGGTGAAAACACCCTTTAATACATGTAAAGACACTTGTAAGAGTTGGTCAATTATGAAGACAACAAAGAAAGATTAAAATTAACTCTAACTGTAATTATGCTTGCTTAATCACCAACGCCAAAACATTTTCAACTTAATTTAATGTATTCCTGAGGATACATATGAAGGACAAGAAGTGTACACCTTTAATTTTCTACCTCTAAGAAACCCTATTCCAGAGTGTCTGGAAATCATTCACACTTGTTCAAGAGGCCAAGTGTTGGTTGGTGGCTCAGAGTGGTTTATGAACAGGATATCGGCTTTATACAGCCAACACAATCTCACTGAAGGTGTGCTGCAGTCTGCGGCTGTCCATATCCACACACTTCTTCCAAAAGCAATTGGTATGCAGAAGCAAACAACCGACTTCTGTCCTACCAGACTTGGATTATGCGTGAATCAATGCTTGGGGAACAAGGTTACGATAATCCTGCCTGAATTCAGATGATATACGAGTGTAAAACCAACCCCTTGAGAAATGACACATGGGATTTGATGAATATTCAATCCTGCTGCAAAGAAGTGATGGAGAGTTATCTAAATTCTGCTCACACAGAAAGTGAAATATGAAGCTAACACTTGAGTTTAATATTTGTCTCTGCAAATCTTTCACTTCAGAGAGGATCTGATTTCCATTTGTTTTTTCCTCTTTTTTTTTATCCATGTTTATTTTTGTGTTCTCATTTAAAACCTTAAAGGATTGTGAACATCCACTTTTTTTGAAAGAACCTCTGAAACCTTTCACAGTTTTAAGTCCCATTAGCTGCATATGAATTATTGATTAGGGCATCACAGATGTGGATGAACTTGTTGAGCTGAGTTGTATGAGGTTGTTTGACTACTGAGGTTGTGTCACTGCCATAGACTGTATATAAAGGGGTCACTGCACTGATTCACCAGATTATGACCTATACCTTTGGAAACAAGTGCTGTAATACAAGCATCCTAATTCTATAAATGAAATACTGCATATGGTGTAAAATGGTAAACTGTCATGATAACAGGATGTATTTGATTCTGCACATAGCTGCCAGGTAATTATTTGTTTGACCTATTTATGAGCTGCAGCAGTATGTTGAGGCCACAAGGTGACTACAGCAGCTCTGAGTCATAATGAGGTATGATGCCAGAGCAGAAAAAGTAACAGATGGTCAGTTGGAGTTTTGTGATTTCAACAGCTGTTGGATGAGCTTGGTGTTGAGTTGTGACTCATCCTACAGTTGAAACGTTAGAGGGGAAACAGGCTGAAAAATGTGACACCTTTCTCTATTCTGCCATCTCCACAACCACAGATAAGAAGTGTTAATGGCTACAAAAGCTAAAGCCTAATGGCTGCAGCACACTAGAGGATTTACAACTTTTGACCAATCTAAAAAATGTGAGACCACGGACATAATGACAGATTAGAAGCATTTTTATCTTATAGTCTTCAAAACACACACACTGGACGACCTGGCTAGAACCTCAGGCCACACACACACAATTTGTAGTGGCTTGTGATATCTTCTTATTTTTCTTATTTTATGGCGGTTGGCAAATAAGTAGTATTACCACTATCTACTGAACTGGAGTGTGCAACTGTGGTCGAACGTGACTTAAATTTGGCATTTTGCGTATACATTTTACAGTGTGAGTTTGATGTGTATTGTTGTTTACAGCTGCACAAATACATTCATATAAATTCATATAAAAGACTTAATCAGAGCGGTTCACAAAATTAAAAGGTCTCATGATGTTGTGGCTGATGGTTGAGATGAAGAGAAAGGAAATATTGCCCTCTTGTGAGACACTGATATAACTGCAACTGCATGGTGAAGATGTTACCCAGCCCCCATCTGAACTTACCATGGAATCTTATTTAGTAACTTTTTTCTTGCATGTATATCAAACATTTTACAATGTGTTTTAATTATTTAAAAAATGTGGACTTGATTGGTGGGATAACTTTCGAGACATTTTGAAGTAATCAAACCAATGGTTCGGCTCAGGGATGTTTTTATAGTGTAAATAATTTATATACTCTGTTTCAATACATGAAGCATGTATGTTTTCTGTTCATCACATGATCCTTGGCTGGTTTGACTTTCACATCCTGACAGTTAAGTTATCAAATTACCAATGTCTGGTCTTAACAGTGGCTATCAAGAAACAGTCCAGAGTTCCTGGGGTTGTAATCACTCAATGTGTTGAGCGAGTGCCTCTTGGAAAGTCAACACCTGACTTCACACGGAAGCCATTGGCTACAACTGTACAAGAGGGTAAAAAACTATTCTAATAACATTATCAGGCACAATTTACAACTGGATTACTATTGTGGCTCACTGTATTTTTATTTCTTTTAGGTAAAAAAGCCGTTTTAAAAGCTATGGTTAGCGGAGAGCCAGCACCAACTGTCACCTGGGAGCGCCACAATGGTGAAGTTGATGACCCAGAAAAGTACAAGAACCGATATGATGAAAGAGCTCGAGAGCACATTTTAGAGGTGAGAGAAGAGTATTCAAATAAAATGCTCCACATCATATAAAACAGAAACTTAAACTTATATATTGTAACAATTACTTTCAAAATACGAGGAATGCTGTTTGAGTTCAGGACTCAACTATATTATTGAGGAAATTCGTTTCTTTAAAATTATTTTTTCTTTTTAATCAGATACCAAATGTAAAACTAGACCAAGCTGACACCTACAGATGCTTAGCCACCAATGAGTTTGGAAATGCTGTCTGCACCACAACACTCAGTGTTACTGAAGGTAAAACACAGATTTAATCAATAAATTAAATTACAATATCCGATACTGTGGGTATGACAATTCACTTTTATTTTGTTTTGTTTTCCTCTAGTTGGCTTAAAGAAGAAAGGTCGGGCAGGTAAGACGTTTATTAGTTTCAAATAATTATTAAAAAAGTAAAAAAAATGACTTGTTTGCATTTCCAACATTTTAAGGTTTCAAAGAAACTCTACTGAACAAAAGTTGGAAACAATCTGACTGTTGCATTTTTGATTTTTCAGGTGACGGACAAGCACCACAGGATTTCAGATCAATGCTTAAGAAAACGTGAGTTCAAGTCAACGTTTAACATGAAATGCTGTAAACTAGTGTTGTCACGATACCAACATTTTGGTATTGATACGGATGGTTCTCTGAACTCCTTGTGCAGGTCTGGATGCTTGTCCTTCAAGTGTTTTGCCAAGTTGGAAGTGTTTCCACCCTTGGCCACACATGTTTTGTAACACTGTTTGCACAGTGGCGCATCGGTATTAATGGCTTCACCGTGCTCATATGTTTTCAAGCCAATTCCATATAGCACTTCGCGCACCTGGTTTGGGGCCTGCTGGCCCTGGCCTGCTCTCCCCGGCTCAAATTACAAAAAAAAAAAAGTACTGATCTTATCCAAGCGCTGTATAGTACCATTTTAAATGCATCAGTACCCCGGTACCAATTTAGTACTATACCAAACAAGCCTACTTTAAACACACTAAAACATTCTACTCTTCCAGTGTTGTTGTCACCAGAAAAAAACAACTGCCACCAAAGAAAGAGGGAGAAATTGATCCTAAGCTCTGGGAGTTGCTTCTCAGTGCACCAAGAAAGGACTACGAAAAAATCTGTTTGGACTTTGGTGTAACTGACTTTCGTTGGATGCTGAAGAGACTCAACCAGATGAAAAAAGAGAGAGAAGATGAACAGGCAAAGGTACTGCATGAAGAATATAACAACTAAAACAACTGCACATGTATTTGTACATATATCTTGGTGATGTTTCGAGCAATGTGTAAAAACTTATTTTGCATATTTTGGTGTGAGGGTTTATAACGTTTGCCTAGAATCTGATAAAGCGAGAATAGAAAATCTGGAGTCTTTTAAGACCAGTCTGTAAAGAAGCATTTCACTGCACTCACAGCTTTACTTTGTTTTCATGAAGTGACGAGTATTATATAATATATAATATAATATTTGAAAGTTTTATGTTTTTAATTTTTATGGATGTTAGCTTTGCCTGAGGGTAGAGCCTAGTGCATCTTAACAAATATCCAATGCTCTGCTCAAGGCTGCTTGAATTGTAATTCTATGGCCTAAGCAAGTTCAGAGCGATATCTATGATGGATGCATACTTTATATTTGTTGCAGGTTATAGAGAAGCTGGAGAATGTGAAACAAATAGAAGTGAAACCTAATGGGAGAGCTGAATTTAGCCTCAACATGACTCTCTGGGACCCCAACAGTGTTATTGATTTATACAAGGTGGGTTCAACTTCCACAATATTCCAAAGTATTCTTTGTTAAGATTAATAACAGCTAACATTAACTTTGTGACTTCTTTTCTCTCAAAAGGATGGAAAATCGGTACAATACGGTGATGATGAAACTTCAAAGCATAGCCTTAAGAAAACCGGGACAAAGTATGTTTTCAGCATCAAAGACCCTCAACCAGAAGATGCTGGATTTTACCAGGTTGATGTTGAAGAAGCAAATGTCCTGACAACTGACTTTCAAGGTAAAGCATAATGTTCTACTTTCAATAAAACAGGATATTTGTATTAGCAGGTGGTGAACTTTCTCTCTTCTTTTAGTGCCTGCTGTGAACTTTGTAGCAAAGATCAAGGATGCAAAAGCTGTTGAAAGCGAGGATGCAATCTTTCAGTGTGTCTTGTCGACACCGCTCAACAGAATCACATGGTCAAAACAGGACTCATCACTCGATCATGGGGACAAATATGAAATCACCGTCTCAGAAGACAAACTCACTCACACATTAAGAGTCAGAGACTGTAAAATGGCAGATAATGGAGCATATTATGCCATCGCTGGGATAACTTCCAACAGTGCCTCTCTCACAGTGGAAGGTGGGGAATCTTTCTTTTTTCATTATATCAATCAAATATTAATCTAATCTTAATGGTCGGAAACTCGCATGAGCACTTTTTTGTAATAACTTCTTATACTTTTAAAGGGCTTCATAACTGTTTCAACAAAATAAAGAATTCAGTCTGTCTGTATTTCAGCTGATCCAGACGGCAGTAAAAGTCGTGAGGGCATCAAAACTGGGGATCAGGATAATCTGACTAAACAAGCATTTGAACAAGAAAAAGACAAACGAGCACAGCCTAAGAAAGATACAGCTGATTCAGAAGCTGCGGCTGCTCTGACGGATGGAGGAGAAGGTTCTGGTGACGGGTCTAGTGATGGATCCAAAGATGGATCTGGGATGAAGACAGATGGAGATGATGGAGATAATGAAAATAATATGGGAGATACAGATGATAAGAAAAAGAAGCGATCACGAACTGGTCCTTTGGTTCCTGACACTGTTATAGGTAAGAGCCTCCATTGGATTGTGGTAGTTTTAATTCCAGTGCTCTTAAATTGTCCTACTACTGCATAAATCGTCAGCTTTGCTATAATGGCCTGTCATCATCGAGTCAGAGAAATTCTAGGTTGAGGTTTGCTAGGCTTAAACCATTCTGGACCCATTTCTGCAGCACTGGCTTTATTCCTTCAGATATAATAGAAAGACACTCGGCACCAATCTTTATTCATTATTTTTTTATAACACCAACAATTTTGGATTTTCTCTCAATTAATTGTTCACTATGACCAAAAGATCAAGAACAGAAAATGCATCTGAAGTGAGAATCATGG